TTCTGCTTTCCTCTACAGCTACATTAGGTGCCCTTAATCAATCTTTTTCTTACTCTTCCTTTCCTTGTACCAGTGATCTCTCTCCTTCTCTCTCTCTCTCTCTCTCTGTCTCTGTTTCTCTCTGCCATCAAGGAAACATCACTCACGTTTCTTCAGGGTTATTGCTGCACTGCACTGAGGAGAGCTAATGGTACTGTTAGCACAGCACTTGACGATAATGTCGTCTTCCAGCTCCGACAAGCTCACAGAGGTGAAGTGGCTCTGCTGGCAAAAATCTTCGAGCCTTGACTTTTGCATGGTCTGAGGCATCATCTCATGCCATAGGGCATCCTCATGGCACCTAAACACAAGCATATGCTGCACATTTAGTCCTCAGCTGCACCGCCACACTCAGAATCTCAGGTCAACTTAGCAGAAACTTAAATTGAATGAACATACTTGGTGGACATTTGGCAATATCTCCAGGTTACGTAAAGGGACGTTCCATTGGCCGAGCACTGAATATTGTCCTTGGTGAGGGCGATGGCCACAGCAGGTGTGTCTGTAGGAGGGAAAGGCAGGTCAGGTCTTACCAAGCTGAGACTATTGCAATCTGGACTAAAAATTCAAGTAACGAGATAACATTTCACACATCTCTACTCTCACACTTTCTATGACAAAATTATATATATAAAAATTTAAATTAATGCCTACTCACCAACCACACAAACTGTCATGTTCCTCGTGATTGACATCTCATTGTTTTCAACAGTAAGCTGGTACTCTCCTGGATCAGGTTTGCAGTACCAAAATATCCTGCAAAATCAGTGGCAGAGCAGCACTGTTATATCAAATGGTGCGTGTGTGTGAGCATGTGGGTCATGTATGTATTCCATTGTGGAGACCAAATGTCCCCACAATGTAATGAAAACCTGTTATTTTCTCCCCAAAAGGAGAAGCTCAATTTCTGTGACTGCAATCAAAAAAATATAAATGTCAAACGTCTCATATTTTGTTTGCCTCCTTATGGCTAAGGTTAGGGCTGGATAGTGGTTAAGGTCGTCATTGTTGGGACTGGGAGTTTTCCCCATAGAAATGAACAGACAAATATATTAATATAATCGTGTGTGTGTGTCTGTGTGTAGAGAGAGAGAGAGATCCAAACTCACCTGCTTCCACGGTAGCGGCTTGGTTCTGAACAGGCCACATGGCCGTGCGGAGTGACCCAGTGGCACCACGGCTCGGGGTATGAGTTGACCTCAGCCTGTAGGCACAAAGACTCTCGGGCCAAAGCAGAGACCTGGTTCATTTCCTTTAGCTGAATGTTCAGAAATCCGCGTTCTGAAAAGAAAGGGTCAGATAATGCTTTCATTGCCTTTATGGTTTGTAGTAACTGTGCACAAAGAAATCCTAACCGTGGGCCCATTCTGGACCATGGGTCAGTTTTGGACCATGAGACCAGCAAGATGGAGGAATTCATATCAGCATGGGAAGTAGTAATTTGGATTATGAAATTAAAATTATTTATGAAAACTAAATAGCAGCAGGCCTGAGTCAAACAGCGCACCAACACTAGGTTATACACTCACCTAAAGGATTATTAGGAACACCTGTTCAATTTCTCATTAATGCAATTATCTAATGAACCAATCACATGGCAGTTGCTTCAATGCATTTAGGGGTGTGGTCCTGGTCAAGACAATCTCCTGAACTCCAAACTGAATGTCAGAATGGGAAAGAAAGGTGATTTAAGCAATTTTGAGCGTGGCATGGTTGTTGGTGCCAGACGGGCCGGTCTGAGTATTTCACAATCTGCTCAGTTACTGGGATTTTCACGCACAACCATTTCTAGGGTTTACAAAGAATGGTGTGCAAAGGGAAAAACATCCAGTATGCGGCAGTCCTGTGGGCGAAAATGCCTTGTTGATGCTAGAGGTCAGAGGAGAATGGGCCTACTGATTCAAGCTTATAGAAGAGCCACTTTGACTGAAATAACCACTCGTTACCATGTCCATCCCTTTATGACCACCATGTACCCATCCTCTGATGGCTACTTCCAGCAGGATAATGCACCATGTCACAAAGCTCGAATCATTTTCCATCCCTTTATGACCACCATGTACCCATCCTCTGATGGCTACTTCCAGCAGGATAATGCACCATGTCACAAAGCTCGAATCATTTCAAATTGGTTTCTTGAACATAACAATGAGTTCACTGTACTAAAATGGCCCCCACAGTCACCAGATCTCAACCCAATAGAGCATCTTTGGGATGTGGTGGAACGGGAGCTTCGTGCCCTGGATGTGCATCCCACAAATCTCCATTAACTGCAAGATGCTATCCTATCAATATGGGCCAACATTTCTAAAGAATGCTTTCAGCACCTTGCTGAATCAATGCCACGTAGAATTAAGGTAGTTCTGAAGGCGAAAGGGGGTCAAACACCGTATTAGTATGATGTTCCTAATAATCCTTTAGGTAAGTGTATAATCACATAGTAGTATTATTTCAGTCTCTGAATTAGAATTTGCATGTTTATATGGTTTAAATAGCTCTGAACAGATGTATCTTGGTGATTGCAGCTGCAGCCACGTCTGGGCTCCCAGTGCCAGTGTCTGAAAGCACTCACAGCTCCTCAACGCAGCTCCTTACCCAGAACCTCAACACGTATGGACTTTGTCCTGTTATTAACTGATGAAAGGCAGCTGTAGGTGCCGTTGTGCTCCGCCATCACCATGTCAATAAGCAGGTAGCAGTGGCTGACATCATAAATCTCATCATGGAATTGCTTTCCCTGAAGGCAGAGATTGGACCTCGTCAATCACCTGTGATGCACCCTGTTCCTGAGAGTGTCAGGCTGGAGATCATGAAACTTCTGAAGCTGTTTACAGCTGGACATTTCAGCAGAGCAGCTCAGGTTTCCAGAGTTCAACGTTACCTCAGGTGTTCCTGAGTCCTTCAGCCACCTTAAGGGTGAGATACTGTTGTGTCTGCAACGTAGCAGAAGTGTCTCTCCAGCGATGAGGTTTACCACAGCTGCCTCCTGCTCACTGGAACCTTGATTTAGGTCTGAAAGAAATGCCTCATTGAGCTCACTGTCATAATTGGCCATTCCACACTCATATTCAGTCGTATAACCATGACCGTGAGAGTGAGGCTGTGAAGTGAAGAGCGGTCAGGACCAAGCGGCAGGGAGGTCACATTTCGAGACACGGCAGCCTGAGGTATGGAAGTGAAGAGAGAATCGAATAAAACAGGAGGTGCTATGGTATGGCATGTGAATTGAAGCTGGTCAGTGGATGTGAACAGGCGTGATGTCAGGAGCAGCATCATTGAAGCTTTACTGTAATCATGCATCTTGGAGCAATCCTCTCCCAGTGCGTTCCTCGCACAGCACAGCACATCTGTCTCAGAGTATTCAAAGCTTCGCAACAAGGATCTTGTGGAGATTGGATTCGAGCTCTTCATCTCTGTCCCACTTACACCATCTCTGGGGAGGATGAACAGCATTTCAGCAGAACCAGAAACTTTCATATGACTGCCTACAACTCCTCTATGGTTAGGTGTTAGGGTTACCAAAGCTATGCAAGATGATGGTTCTAAGCATCCTTCCACACAAGTGCAAAATGCAGACATGAAGTGTACCTTTTGTCTAGGGACTTATACCATGTGATCTTCGGTCTCGGGTATCCCAAGGAACTGCACAGGAAGTTATACCCATATCCTAGTTCTCCATTAGCAATACTCAGCTGTGGTGTTGACGGCCGTCTCAAGGGGTCTAAAGAAAGAATGGACAGGTTAAAATTCAGAAGACAAACCATTCCCTAGGGATTCATTTTGATTAGCCTTAAAATATGATATTTAATGTTGCAGTGAATGTGAGGAGTCTGTGTGAATGAGGCTGCTCTGGGGCAGAAGAAGGAGATGGGGGCAGTCATAGGAGACAGACTGAAGGCAACTTAACGATGTTTTTGGGGGCTGATGGGGGAGTAAAGAACATCCCTGTGTGTGTGAGAAGGAACAGCAGGAAAAGCCCCTGTGTGCTAGATGGGGCAGTACGAAAAGCCCCCGTGTGTGAGACGGGGCAGTAGGAAAAGCCCCCATGTGTGAGATGGGGCAGTAAGACAGGTCCCTGTGTGTGAGATGGGGCAGTAAGACAGGCCCCCCTGTGTGAGACGGGGCAGTAAAACAGGTCCCCCTGTGTAAGACGGGGCAGTAAGACAGGCCCCCCTTGTGTGAGACGAGGCAGTAAGACAGCCCCCGTGTGTGAGACGGGGCAGTAAGACAGCCCCCCCTGTGTGAGACGGGGCAGTAAGACAGGCCCCCCTGTGTGTGAGATGGGGCAGTAAGACAGGCCCCCCTGTGTGTGAGATGGGGCAGTAAGACAGGCCCCTGTGTGTGAGACGGGGCAGTAAGACAGGCCCCCTTGTGTGAGAGTGGGTGAGTTGCTGTAAAACTGGGCGGCTACTCACTTTCTTGCTGATGTACAACAAAGGACACAGAGAAAAGTTCAGCTCCATGTTTACAGCACAGAGTGTAGATTCCTGGGTTCCTAATGAAGACCATGTAGCTTCCTCTAAGGACAAAGCAGTGAACAGAAAATAACCTTCTGCACTGTACCTGATGTAGTGACTACAGGATATGAACTTAACACAGACTTGAATCAACTCCAGTTCTGTGTCTATGTTTGGTGTGATGACGGGAACTGAGCAATGTGGACCAGTCCCCACCGATTCCCTGTCCCCCCAGCGGTGAGGATAAGTCCCCACCGATTCCCCATCCCCCCAGCAGTGAGGATAAGTCCCCGCCGGTTCCCCATATCCCTGCGGCACACAAACGTGCATGTTACCTTTCCTCTAGATTCTTCATTTGGCACCTTTCAGTCCTTTCCCAAGAGCAGCTGTGGTTTCCTGTGAGATGTTGGACAGTCAAGTTTGCGGATTCTTGACTCGAAAGCACGACCTGGTTGGGCTCTGAAAGTGGCAGCTGGGACTCCCAGATGTGACATGACAATGACTTTAAGTCATTATGTCCAGTCCCAATCTGTAAACAATTAAATGGAGCAGCTGAAAGACTTGCAGTACACACAGGCGTGTACCCAGAGCTTGGGGTTCTATATTTATACAGGATCTATCTATGGATATACATCAATGACTAAGAATATTTCTGCCTGCATCAAACCTCAATGTAAATTTTAAGTCTTATACCTAAAAATACCTTATTTTAGCAACAACTGAATGTGGATAAGAAGTGAGGATGTGTTGCTGTGACCATGCTACCACTTATAAAACCCATACTTCATGTTTAGCAAAGTAAGCTAATTATACTGCATTAGGGCACCGGGGTAAAGATCTAGATGCATCTGTTTATTTGGATGATCCAGCATGTGCTGATAGGAAGCCTCCCCCAGGGAATGCAGTGCCAAGGACAGGATGCAAATCACACACACACACACACACACACGTAGGGTAAACATATACTTATGGGGACCGCTCATTCATTTCAATGGGAAAAATGCTAATGCTAACTATGACAACCTTAACCCCCACCCTGCCCTAACCATAACCATAAGTAACCTAACAAAATACAAGAGTTTTTGCAGTTTTAGTTTTTTCATAGCAGTCACCGATTTTTATAAAATAGAGTTTTCCCTTATGGGGACCAGGAAACCGGTCCCCATAAGGGAAAAAAAACGGATATTTATCACGTTATGGGGATAGGTATATCCATAAGGATAGGTAAACCCGCTCACACACACACACACAGGTTTGTAATTATATCTTTGTGGACTCTCCATTCATTCATTTCTATGGGGAAAGCCCTTTATCCCAACATGATAACCTTACCCCCTACCCAGCCCTAACCTTATAAATATAAGTAACCAAATGAAATATAAGACTTTTGGCTACTTCAGTTATTTGATTGCAGTTACAGATTTTTAAAATACTGAGTTCAAATATTGACCAGAAAATGTCCTCACAAGATTAAAATGACTGTTTTTGTCAAACTTACTACATTTGGTTCCCACATGACCACACTCACAATATCAGCCAGCATGGAGAATTTGCAACTGCTCACCCTGAGCCAGTAGCAGGATTTAATGCACTTCTATGCATTTCTATATGTACAGCAGTGGTTCTCAAACTGGGGGCCATGGCCCCCTGGGGGGCCGCATCGAAATTGTAGAATCTAAAAAAAAAATTACCTGTATGTAAATCAGGCTTGTCAACCTATGTAAAATATAATGTATTTAAAAAAAAATAGAAGTATAAAAAAAATGTAAATATAAATTTTACGTAGCACACTACGCTGCTATGGACATCATAAATTACTGTTCAGTATTCAGTACTTTTGTTGCACTTTTCAGACAATGTTAGTTTTACTGTCAAAACTGTTTTAATACAATGTTATATTTTGTGAAATGTAAATTTAACAAACCAGAGAAATAAAGACTACAAACAGAATCTAAAATCTAAAATTAAGTAAAATTGTAAGTTTGAGGATGTTTTGCGTCATGATTTTTTTTTTGAGGAGGGGGGCCACAAAAGGATTCACCCTACACAAGGGGGCCTCCTGCTGAAAAAGTTTGAGAACCACTGATGTACAGTATACAGTCTGGCTGCACATATTCAGTACAATGCACATCACAATATGACACAATAATCGTGAAACTATACTGACATACGCAGAGAGCTGCGTAACATTGAACAGATTTACAATCGTTACAGCATTAGACAAACACCCTTAGCCAGAGCAACTTACATAAGTGCTTTAAAGGCTCCTTTAGAAAATACATTCTTACAGGGGTACCGTAATTTGGGGGAAAGTTAGGACGATTCCAAGGGCCCCTGAATGACAGGGGGCCTAGAAAATTTGGAAAATACCTGGATTGGTTTGGACTGGGGGAGCCCAAAATCTCTAGCAATGCCCCTGCATTCTGATACTGGTTCAACAGAATTCAGGCTAAACATACCAACAGTCTAAAAACCTTTGTTGGCAAAGTAATACAGTTTTTCATTTTATTATTATTATTATTATTATTATTATTAATAAGAAAATAATACTGGAAGTGCTAATCATCCATCCATCATCTAACTGCTTACTCTGGCCAATGTCACAGGAACCCTTGCCATCCACTGGATAATAGGCTGAGACACCAGTCCAAAGCAGGGCTGGTACTCAATTATGCTCATACACCACGGGAACTTCAGAGAAGGCTGACTGCATGTCTTTGCACTTGGCGGGGAAACTTGCATGATGTCAGGAGCCTGCAGGTGGGATTTGATGGGATTCGAACCTCTAAGACCAGCAGTCTGAGCCACTGTGACCTGGGAGGCCAGCTCTCATGCATATGACATGACACTCACCCTTTCAGACTGTCACGCAAGCAATCTTACGGCAAATCTATATCATTCCATTATAAACCTACAATTAGTGACATTAGCTGACCAAAGCTGGCAACCCCGACGATCACCCCACTACAATAATAGCTAAATCATAGTATATAGGGCTTTGCAATTAAACGTTTATATGAGAATTTCCCAGACTAAATTTGAGGAAAACTGGTTCCGGCATGCATCAGTGTATAATCAGAGGAACCAACAGACGGGCTCAAACTTGGATACATGCAGGTTAGTCACTATGAATTGGGGAGCCAAACCTATTTAAACGAATTAATGTACACTGGGTGGGGGTGGGCTGTAAAACAGCCCTAGCAACGACCACGGACGCATCCAAAGGTGTTACCGTTTCTGTGCATGAGAATGCAGAATAGGAACATCCAGAACGACGCGGCTTTATACGGAAAGCAGCCGAAAATCACTCACTCTCCGGTCCAGGAAACAGCGAACCGCTTTGCTCCCTTGGCCATATACGGTAAGCGTAAGCTGCGCAACTGGAAGTGGTGAAAAAACATCATCATATAACTTTTCAAAACAGACATTCTACGACGCATCATATGTATACTTCACCAATGCCTTTGCAGATTGCTTACGCTCAAAAGGTGAGTGGGAAATGACCCGATGTATAATTTTATATTAAAATTTAATGCAATAACTGGACTACTAAATTTAATTGGCCTAATTGCAGATGAGATTTTCATCTTCAACTCACCAATCATAGCGCAGAGCTCCACAACTCTTCGGGTCATGGTTAACAGTATCCGCATATGCGAGCAGAAGTAAGTATCACTTAAGTGAAATGAAATTAAGTCCGGCTTATGTCGTCATGGTTGGGTGACGCTGGGTGCCAGCGGGGGTCCACCTCTTTTCGTGGGGGGGGGGGCGGCGGTCGTTCGTACCGATTCTATTAATTTCTTTTCCTTTGTTTCTTTGTTTAGTTTGCAGACACCCTGAGCTTGACCAGTGGACGCGTTGTTTAAATTGTTTAAAGTAATTTAAATAATTGATCACTTGGGGCCGTTTTGTACTGTTTATCTGAACTTTTTGCATCTTTTTGTAATATGCACAAGATTCCTCAAGGTAAAACCGTGAGTCAGGAGACTTGCCCTTAATGATTTTGTCTATCATTGGTCACCTCTTTAGGATTGAGCTGAGCATTACCTCGTTTTTCGAAGTTTACACATTCTGATATGAAGAATAGTGCTTGGCTTAAGTATGCGGGTCCCAGTGCGGAGTTAACAATCCAAGAAAAAACAGTCACTCGTTTGAACATGAGTATTCATTCTATATTCTAAATATGCAATGTGCACACACACACACGTTTCCAGCAACTTTGCAATACTTGAATGTATTGTGACCCATGACACGACCACAAACACACTTCGTATTACTAACCAATATCTTATTTTTTATTATTATTTTTATTTTACTATTTAGGTTAATTAAATCAGTGAGTTCATGGCTAAATGTAACAAGTACATGGAATGGCTGGGATGCCCCTGAGGAGAGGTTTTGGAACTGTTCAACTAGATGTCAGTACCTTTTGGGAGAGCATATAAGAACTTTTACTAGTTTTACTAATGTTACACAGAATTTGTACGTGTTGTAAGGTTAAATTATGGTGCTCGTTCTGAGCAAATGTACACTTACTACCCCAAAAACAGCACACACAAAGACACATTATATATATATATATATATATATATATATATATATATATATATATATATATATATATATATATATATA